AAAGTTCTTTCATTGTAGAAATTACTATGGGTGCATTGAATACTTACTTTATTTCTTTTTCAGTGAAAATGGTCAGATGACATTGCCTGTGACTGTACCAAGTAGCCTAACTCAGTGGATTGTACAGGCGGTTGGAGTAAACCGTGATACAGGCATATGTGTTTCACAGCCATTTGAGTTACTTGCATTTAAACATTTTTTTATTCAGCTGAGTCTACCATATTCTGTTATAATGAGAGAGCAGATTGAAATCAGAGCGACTGTATTCAACTATGGTGCACGTGATCTAGCTGTAAGTATCACAACTGCCACGGACCATGTATTTATAACACATTATCACCCAAATATGTAATCCTTTATGATTTATACAAACACGGACGTCACTGTATATCATATGCATACATTGTTTACCACGCAAAATTCTATAATGCTACTGCACATGACTGATAACAAATCAATGAAGAATAAAACACATTCATAGATGAATATGTATAAAACATTATTCCGATGACTACTGGAAAATATATTGATACTGTTGTAATAACTAATTAAATGATCAAGCACAATAATTTCTTTTATCTCAGTTGATTTAATAGTAACAACTAACACTGATTGCTATATGTGCATGATAATGCAATACAAACCATCCTCAAACCGATGACACACACACACATGTAGACGTCGTGGATAATAATAATGCTAGTCTAAAAGATATGCACAATTTATGGTTTGAACATACCTTAAATAACTAATGCTTTCTTTCATTTGAGAATTATTATTTCTGTTAACAGTTCGCAAAACACGTACACGTAAATCTGGATTTATTTTACCACAAAGCACTTAATAGTACACTTTGATAGTTTCTATTTTGCAGTGTGTAAGAAAAAGCTATATTGGTGGCCGTGTATAAGGACTGCAACGCTATCCAAATGTGAGAAGCAACCCCTAATGTTACATCATTTTTAGTGTAGTGATTTTTAACAAATTGTATCTTTCTTGTTAGGTAAGTGCTTACATGTACGGTGTGGAAGGTATCTGTTCTGATGCCAAACCTGGGGAAAGAAGTGATGGTAAATGGTTTATCGTGAAGGCAAAAAACGCAGCATTGTTTACATTTACAGTTATTCCACTAAAAGTTGGTAACTTTCCAATCAAAATCGAAGCACTCAGTCCAATTGGTGATGATATTGTGGAAAGGATATTGAAAGTGGAAGTACGTAATATTATTGCTATCATTATCATATGACAAAACTATACTGTAATTGGTTATACTAGCACATATGAAGTAAGTTTAAGTTGACACAAAACATAATGCAGCATATAAGAAAATTAAAAGAGAAAATATTGGGATTGCGCCAACACAAGGTGTATATAGGATGTGTTAAGCGCCATGGACATCAATAAATAGCAACACAACATACCCATTTCAGCAAAAATGTCATCCACGGGAACTGTCATAGTTGTCATTAAGCATTTCATTCATCTCAATACAGCCTGCTGGTATTCAACATTCCTTCAAACATTCAGTGTTGCTCGACCCTACCGGTTTGCTGAGTAACAGAGTAGGAGTTGATAATACAGAAAATACTGACCAAGGGCCGGTTAAGAACATTGGTAAGATTTTTTTTTTCGTTTCGTAATTTTTGGGAAATGCATGTAAGCGGTATGTATTAATGAATAGCAACATTCCTATTAAATCAAATTATCAAATTACGATATCTCAAAAGGTAGTAATTCAATCTAAGATTTAATATTTTAATTCTACAAAACATTAAAGTCATTAATAATTGGAATATTTTGAGAATGCAGATCCTATAATTTCAAAATAAAAAAGTTTATTTAAATCCCTAAAAACATCCCCACACAATACTCACCAATCCAACCATAATGCAGCAATTATAGATTATCAGGAACATACCCCAAATATGATATGAGCAAATGCTAATATAAATACAATAGCCCGTACATACTATTAAAACTATAAGTTGATTATTTAATTCAAACGATACAATTTTATTTTTACGGTGTTTGTCCCATTTTAATTTTGTTTTAATTCCATTGACAGATCCTATAATTACAAATTACATAATTAAATCTCTAAAAACACACACTACGCACACACATACATCTCATAATGCAGAAATTGTACATAATGATGATATCCCAGCTTTGTGAGGATATAGGAAAATGCCCTTCAATGCAGTCAACACTATTGCAAATTACATTTCAAACACCATATTGAGATTGAAATCCAGATCATTCTAACTAGCATTCGGTGACAGTGGTTCGTCGGTACACTATATACATAACAGACAAGATGTCTAAAATCAATTATTTAATAAATCAGTTTGACAATAATGTTACATATCAGCTCTTACCGAAATCACTGAAATACGATTTTGACCATACAACAGGACACAGAGACCAGAAATCAATTTGCATATTCAAACCCAGATTCAATAAAGCCACACTTGTTTGTCCATAGTGGCACAGATCAGTACCCAAATCCACCTAGTGGTTGTGCCACCGAAAATATCAAAGAGTGAGCAAAACAATAAGTGGCTTTTAAAAATATGCCATAGGAGTATTTTGATCTTTTATAGAAGGTTGATTACCAAGCGATATCACGCCCTATATTTCTTTATACAATATCCACTATTCAAAAAAACAGTAAATAGGTAAATAACTCGCATATATCATTGTTTATCTTTGTTTTCAGAGCATAAACATTTTGAGAAACATCGTCAATTTAATGAAATAGACATTAGGATGCCTGCTGATGTGATTCCCGATTCACCTGAATGTCGTGTTAACATAGGTGGTGAGTATTTCAAATCAGTTCAGTTCCCTGTGATATTATGCACAATTTACAGATAATGAA